GGGGCTGAATAATTTTGCACGCCCAATTTTTCAGTTTTTTTATTTGTTAAAAAAGTTTGAAATATCCAATAAATTTCGTTCTACTTCATGATTGTGTCCCACTTGTTGTTGATTCTTCACAAAAAATTACAGTTTTATATCTTTATGTTTGAAGCCTGAAATGTGGCAAAAGGTCGCAAAGTTCAAGGGGGCCGAATACTTTCGCAAGGCACTGTACGTTAATCACATTTTATACGCAGGACTTGTGAGGAGTATTCTTACACTGTGGTATTACAACTTTTACTTAAGTAAAGGAGCCGAGTACTTCATCCACCACTGAGTATAACCTCATTTCTGACTTTGAGCCAAACAATGTTATTAGACCTGTTCCATCAACCAAACAACCACCTGGATCTGCAAGTGTCTCCATTTGGAAATATTTACAGAGGGAACCGTCTGATCACTTTTCAGGATCTCCAGTATAATTAAAACTGCAGTGTGTGTGTGTGTGTGTGTGTGTGTGTGTGTGTGTGTGTGTGTTCGTACACAGAGCGCAGCACCAGCAGACCATGGAAGGTGTTCTCCATCAGTTCCTCTATGTCATTATGGTGCAGATCACTGAAACACACACATATCAGCCTTGATATTTGCATTTCATCATGTTTATCAAACGGGGGTTTTCTGAGTGATCTAATTAGTCAAAGTCCAGCTGCACCGCTGCTCAATGTTCTCATAATGAACAGCTGGCTGTACTTTATTAGGTGCCATGCTACACTGGGTGTGACACAGGCTAGATAGTTGTGTGTTCATGACTGAGAACCCCCCCCAACCCCACAAAACAAAGTAAAATTCAATGTAAAATGATAGTAGAATCTAAAGAATAAAACTCACATCTTCTGAATGCTCTCGCAACCAGAGAAGCTTGGAAGAGTCTGGATCTGATTATAGGAGAGATCACTGCAGAGAGAAAGTTTTGGCTGTAATCAGTTTTAAGTCATAGTGTTTTATATTCATTCACTTTATATTGTCAAAAATACCAAGTGAATGAAAATATTCAGTATAAATACAGTATTTTCATACTTCAACCTGTTTATCCAAATTTACAAAAACAAAAGTTTTTAATCGGGTCCTCATCAGCTCAGCCAACCAGACGTTGGCTCAGTTTTACTGTTACACTGTCATACTGTAGATATTTAGCCATGCTGGCAGCACAGCCCTATGGATGCTTGTTGGCCAATCTACATGTCAGTTTGGGCCAAAGTAAAATATGTCCCCAACTACCAGATGAACTGTCATGAAATGTCGGACAACATAATCATTCATGGTGCTCACAAGATGAATCTGCATGATTCTTCTGATCCTCTGACTTTTCCTCTATCACCACCATGTGGTTGACACTTGTGGTTTTGAGTGAAATGTTTCAACAGCTATTTGATGGACTGCTTAGAAATGTGGTTCACATATTCCTTTTCTCCTCAGGATGAAGGTTACGAGCTTTGCTGATCCTCTGACTTGTCATCAAATACTATGGTTTAGGATCAAGCACCTGCAAGAGCTTCAGCTGTACCTTTTTGTGTAGTGTCAACTAGCAAATGTTAGCATGATAACATGCTAAAATAAGATGGTGAATAGGGGGCACATTATACTTGCAACTGTGTCTAAGTGCAGCCTCACTAGCTCACTCGCTAGCTTGGATGTAGACCATTAATCTTGTTTATAGAGAATTGGAAGGTATGCCTTGAATGTTGGGATGCGGCGTCATTTTGGGAGATATGCGCTGTATTTACCTGCATACATACAGTAGTTGTTTTGTTTGGATAAAAAGTTGCTTAAATAAATTAGATCTCACTTCACTGACTGTGGTCATTCAGAATGGAAAACCTTAGCTGACTGTAGCTAACTCATAGCGGACCTAGAGATCCCATTGGCAAGAGTGACATAATGCAAAATCACTCTGCACCCTGATCTCAGCTCTCGGTTCTGGAGCTAACGCTAGCTAGCAGCTGTCAGCAGATAACACAAACATTGCAGATGAAACAGTTTCTGTCCTGTCTGTGCTCAAACTGAACACTAAGGTGGACGTTTGGACGTTATAGAAGCATCCGCTACTGTATCTAGCTGTATGGGATAGTATTATTTTTTTTTTATTAACTTGTCGATGTATGTAGTCTATATATCTATGATTGATAATGAGTGTGATCACCCCAAAGAGGCGCATTTACCCAAAATTCAACACAGTGTGACAACTTCAAATTCTCTATAGTGAAGTGTGGTGTTAGCGCCACCAGTAAGCGACAGACTGGAGCCAAATGAGCTTGCCAAGGTAAGACCATTCTGAGATGACGATTGTTGTTGCTGAGTCCTCAAATCTCTAAAAATGTCCTAATTAACTTTCAAACTGGCACAATTTGGTTAATCGATCACATGCTCTAAATCCAACCTTTTTTTTGGGGACATAACAGCTACAGGATGAAGCTGATGGCAGCTGTAGGTTAGGCTGTCCTCTGCCATTGCTACTGGTTGATGGAGGCCACAGGCTGAAACACAACTGAGATATTTCACATAGGTCAGCTGCCCACTGCCCTGATCAAACAGGAGCTCACCCTGCTAGAGTGTGGCGTTACTCAGAAAACAATAGGTCTTATGCACCTCCAGTGCATTTAGTGTGACTCTATAGATGTAGAAGCAGTGTATGTGTGGACTCACAGGAGCTGCAGGTTTGGAAGCTGCTCACACACTGAGCTGGGCAGTGAGGTGATCCGAGCTCCCGTGATAGTCCTGTGCACAAACACAGAAAGAGCAACAAAACAATACAGGTTCCATCTGTTAATGGTTCTGCAGCACTTTCATTTCATGTCTTGCCCATGGGAACGCGGGCAGGGTGGGGATGAGGGCGCTAAACCTTGATCCTACATTCCCTCTGCTAACTATGGAGCTATGAGCCCAGGCAGGCCAGGATCCAGCTGGGTTCATTACAGTGTTTCTGTTCTTAGTTCAGGGGTTGTTAAGAAGCATTAGGGTGCGTTCGGGTGCATGAAAGGTGTATTAGATTATACAACGCCGTCTTCAGGAACATTTCAGTTGTGTAACAGGTTTATTGAACTGTACTTCTCTTCAAGCATTTCAGAAACACCGTGGTATGTTCAGTTGCATCAAATGTGGATGAGAATGTACTATGGTGTGTTCAGGTACAGGAGGAATGACTACTGCTGGTACGTGATAAGACGTCATAGTTGCTGTTAGTTAAGAAATGAAACGCTGAGATGATAAAGTGTGATGTTAAACAAAAGCCAGTTATAAACTGGACAAATTAGGATCCATTCAGGAAAACAGGACGCTGAGGTGGAGGCACAGAAACACAGAGAGGGAGTGTTTAGAAGTGGAGAGAATGTGGACAGTTTGTTTGGATGGAGTTTTTATTTCCTCCTACTGGTTCAGTGTGAGGTTACTGTTAAACACTGGCTGCCTTCAGTATGAGTTTAAATGGAAAACTATGAGAAAGCAAACATTGTGAATGTGTTTATTTTGACATGAAAAACTGGGTCACAACAAGGAGAAAAGGGGAGTTTCTTGCAGCCTGAGCTGCAAGAAAATAAAGTTAGACTCTGTCACACAGAATAATAACTACAGAGCATTAATAACAGCAGCTTGGTTCGAGGCACAGAGCTGAAAGCACACACTGATGTCGGCTACAGCAGCAACCATATGAAACAGTCCAGTGTGTGTGCGCATCTTACAGGCTCTCCAGGCTCTTGGTCCCTGTCAGATCTGGAAACTCGGTGAGATCTGCCGCTCCGTTCAGAGAGCTGAAAGACAGGTGGTGATTGGTTCAAGCTGAAGCAAGAAACATTCATGTGGTTTGTGTGTCACATTCCCTCTGTAATTAGCATCTGATTTAACGAGGCAGCAGCCCATTGCTGCAGTTTTATTCTTTGATATTCATAACAAATGTTAATTAAATGAAGAACTGCAATTGTTTGCTATTTGTTTGATGCATTTGTTTTTAAAGTAATACAGTGGGAGTCATTAAATACACTTCTGACAAACAAAATAATGAAATAAACAACCACAGGAATAAATGGTGCATTGAGGGACATAATTATCCTTGGATGGTTTGATAACTTCAGTTCCTTTCCAGAATCACATGAATCAAACCAAACCCAGTAGAACCATCAGACTCTATTGATCCCAGTAGGAAATCCACCAGCTAACCAGCAGGATGTAAAGTACTTCACAGTATAAGTATGTAAGACTTGATTCTTAGAGGCCCTAGCTACCATAGATGAGAGTCGGAACGTAGATCGACCAGTAAATCGAGAGCTTCGCCTTACAGCTCAGCTCCTTCTTCACCACGACGGACCGGTGCATCGACCGCATTACTGCAGAAGCTGCACCGATAATGACAAAGGTCACAGAGAGTTTATCATTATTCTCTTGTCATAACAGATTGCAAAGAGCCATTTAATTGTCATTGGCTTATACTTAAACTGAAATTTTAAATGCTATTTTGCTTACTCTTCAATTGTTTTGACAGAGTTGCATGTTATCTGTTGACTCACCTTCTGTAGCACTTCAAATCAAATTTCAAGTGTTTTCATTGTTTACAGTTCCACCAAAACTTTTACTCATCCAGTAAAGTTTAAACTGTCCTCATTACACTTCAAATGATGCTTCAACTGCTTTCAATTGTTTTTGTAGTTCAAACACTGACATTTTCACATCCTTTATGAACAGCATCTCTGACACCCCAACCGCTTTGAAGTTTACAACTCAACTTCCCGCAGGCCTTTAACCGAATTCACGCTTTAATTTTTACCTACTTTCAGCTTTAACACTGACACTTTGTACGATGGACAGATCATGAGACCATGAGCCACTGTGCACAAACATGTAAAAGGCCCCCATCCCTCCTATATAACAGAGTGGATTTAGAACAAGAGTGGAAACATCTCCATTGACTCTATAAAGATTGTTTTTTGTTTTTTACAATAATGGCGGATCATTGGAATGCTGAATAGTTTCAAATATTAACAGCAGCACCACAGAGTTACAATGACTTGGCTGCTATCATCTAAAGTAAGAAGTTGAAATCAAGGGCAAGAATTGTACTTTTGACTTTTTGAGTTAGCAACATGGTGTTAGGTATTTTTAGTCAGATAGAAATTGGATAGATACTTTATGTATTAGAAATGTTTAGTGGAGATAGGATGTCTAGTTAGACTGTTAAATGCTTAGTCATGCTTATGAGTTTCTACAGGGTACATCTGGTCAAGGATAACTAGAGAGAAGAGTTGATGACTGTCAGAAGACAGGATGTTTAATATTATTATGACGTGTATAACTGTAGCCTTAGCCATAATATGTTCTTATGTTTAAGTCACGACATGTTACTAGAAGTCTGTGAGAATGCTTTTAGCTACACACCACTTAACCAACAGACACACACATTCACACATTGATTTACTTCATGTTTGGACTACTGCTATGGCCAGCTGCAAGGCTGGTAACAGAGACGTCTCAGTTGACGGATCTCATCCACCCTCGGGGCCTTGCCACCGAGAAACTTCCTATGGTCATGAGCTTTGGGTCATGAGCTTTGGGTCATGACCGAAAGGACAAGATCCCGGATACAGGTGGCTGAAATGGTCTTTGCTTAGACTGCTGCCCCCGCGACCCGGTACTGGATAAGCGGAGGAAAACGGATGGAATGGATGGAAGGCCCTAGCTACTTTATAAGCTTTAGTTACTTCTCATACCTGTAGTTCCCCTTAGTTACCTTTCATAACTTTATTTTCCTTGTTTATACATATTACAGCTGTATTGATGAGAATCAAGTGATACTGGAGCAGAAACTGTCTGCTGTAACTTCTGTGTAGAGCCAGGATGTCTGCATCTCCTTGTGACCAGACAGCCTATTTACATTTTAACAGAGACCTGTTGGCCTGTTTTACACTCACACCTCAACCCACCTCAACCCACTTAGCATATCCCAAGCTTTGCTTTGTCTTGGGATGTCCTGCAGAGGCCGGGGGTTACAACCTAAGATGACCACCTGGCCAGTTTAACATACTTATTAGCATCACACACACAAGAGGCCTGCAACTCAGGCCACCCATTGATGAGTGCACCTCGAGATCAAGATCAGGGAGACAGACACACACACAAACACACACACAAACACACACACACACACACACACACACACACACACACACACACACACACACACACACACACCTAGATTTACCATATTTCAACATGGAAGTGTGAGCTCCGGCTCACACCAAATGACCAATAGGATCACAAACTATTGAAGGTTGCACCCCTGTCCAGGGTGGAGCAGCCCAAGAAGATAAAATGTATTGTAAGAACTTAATTCGGGGTTCAGAGGATGGAAGTCCTGCGGGAACTCTATCTCTCTGATCCCAGCGCTGTAAGGCCTACCTGTGATCAGACTTTCAGTAAACTTTCTGCTGATTTTAAACAGTCCTCTCCTGTCTTCACTTCTCATGCTTCCAACAAAAGAATTGGGTTATTTTCTAACAAGTATATAAGGTAGTTACCATCAGCTCCACCTTTACCAGCTGCAGCATTAAGGTGATGAACACAGTAATGCATCAGTCACTATGATCCAGTATCAGACGTTACTGGGACACGGGCTGTTCTGCAGGACGAGTACTGGTACTGCTGGTAATTCATGTATATCTGGATGCTGATATTTTTTTACTTTTACCTAATTAATATTTTGAATGCAATACCTTTACTTAGGTAAATGATCTGAGTTCCTCTTCCACCATTTTGAAAGGTGCGATACAAATAGTTTTGATGATTGATTTGTGCTGAATGTGTGTGTGTGCTGACTATGTCTCACAGCGTGCGTAGTTCTGGCAGGTTCTGAAATGCTGAGCGTCCGACAGACTGGATGGGGTTGTTGAAGAAGAATCTGTAAACACACAGGCACAAACATCTCATGTTCAGCAACGTACTGGGCAGTTAACAGCCTAAAGAGCTGCCTGTAACGTCACTGAGCGGGTCTCGGTTTCGACCAGTTCAGTTTCGTCTTGCACATGCAAGTTTCCTGCTGTTTGGCTGTCAAATACAAAAATACGGTTAACCTGCGAAACAACATTGTAAAGTCATCTAATAATTGTCTTCTGTATGTTCAGCAGCATTTTGACAGGTGGGAGTTGTTCCCAGTTCATGGTACCTACATGGTGATCAGTGAGGGGTTCCCAATGAAGGCATGCTCCGGGATAGACTGGATGCTGTTACTATGGAAACCACTAAATACAAAACAGAACAGGAATTAGTCTTCATCCTTTCTTCATGCCTCATCTCAGACACAAGTTGCTGACATGAGGTACCCAAGAGTAAACATTAAATGGCTGGAAACAAGCAAAATGAGCATCCATGGGCACTTTAAGTCAATTTATCTCAACTTTCAAAATTGTTTTTAATTTTTCTTTTAAATTTTTATTTGTTGCATGGTTGTTTTTCATTAACACGTCAGCACACAGTCTAGTGTTTTCTACTGTTTGAACTGAACCCTTTTGCAGCATGGACACAGGAAACACATCTAGCTAAGATCTACGTGTTTATATCTACTGTATGATGCTTCACTTTCAACTGCCTTTTCTTCTTCTCTGACCCCAGACTGCTAAACTCTCTCCGCCTGTGCTCACAGACCTTCTTGTTCATTGCAAAGTAATGTCCATCATTCTTGCTTCCTGCTGTCAAACTAATAGCAACATACTGTGGCGTTAGCTTAAGGATATGCTTCATTCAAATCAACCACAACAAGGAAACTTAACATTTTATCTGACTGACATCTACCAAGCTGAACGTGTGATGGCATATTTCTAACCCTGGAAGTCAATCATATAAAATTAACAGGGTTTATTCTAAAACAAATCACATTTTAGGGCAAAAATGGTAAATGTGTTTTTTGCTTTTCAACACCATGTTTAGCACTGACAAGAAGAAAAGCACATTCTCCTCCAACATGTAGCTTCCTCTTTATAACATGCTACAGTGAAGAAGCACCTGTCTACTCTGGAAACATGGATTCTGTTGGAAACTTTTCTCAATCATCCATTTATCCATTATCGCTTATTCCTGAATAGGGTCAGAGAGGGCTGGAGCCAATCCCAGCTGACCGTGGATGAGAGGCAGGGTCCACTCTGGACAGGTCACCAGTGTATCACAGGGCTGACATGTAGACAAACAACCACACTCACTCCTACTGAGGTTTTAGAGTCACCAGTCAACCTAAGCTGCATGTCTTTGGACTGTGGGAGGAAGCCGGAGCGCCTGGAGAGAACCCATGCAGGCACAGGGAGAACATGCAAACTCTGCACAGAAAGACCCCAGGACGGGGCTCAACCCCAGAACCTTCTTGCTGTGGGGTGAACAGCTCTAACCACTGTTCCGTCATGCCGCCCCCGTTTCTCAATCAAACACACACAAACAGACTCACAGCTCCTTAAGGTGGCTGAGCGAGCGGATGGCCGTGGGAAACTCCACCAGACTGTTGTAGTTCAAATCCCTGGCAGGAAGAGAAAGGTGGTATCAAACACAAGCCACGCACTATACACACACAACTGTAGACTGGGAATACTGGGATTAGTCTAGATCTGAAATATCAGCTTTAAATCACAAGTTTGAATTTTAATTTAGGAATACCAATTCTCTACTGGAAATGGCCCCTTCATCACTGGTTATAGACCTACACACAGGAATGAAGGCCATCTCTAGGTCTGGAATCTAACTGGGGTGCAGCATTTACTTTGGGAAAAACAGATCTAGACTGGTCATACAGCTATATACTGGGAATGTCAGCTGTATACTGGGAACGAGTTTCATGTAAATGTTTATGTTGCAGCCTGATACTCAGCTCCATCGTTTTTCCGTCTTTTAGGCTTGTTACAGAAACACTGAACTGTGCCTCCCTCCACCACCAGAGACTAGAGCATTTTTCGAGTCCACACATGGCTTCAATTAGGTCCTCTCAACCATCTCTGGGATGCAGGTGGCCATTACAAATGCACACACAAATACACTGTGTGGAATGAAGCTTCCACATTGTGTAAAGACCATTAAATTGAAATTGCTTCAGTCTGGTCCAGAGTGTGTGTGAGTACAGCGGATGATCCAATGCCTGTAGGCTTTCTGCTTTCCGAAGTGATTATTGGTGGAAGGTTGTAATTGGATGAGAGATGGGTAAGAGCTTTCTGACTGGTCAGTTTAGGGGTTCTTATTTATTTGGCACAAGAACAATATACTGTACATTCACTGACATTCAACAAATGTAAATGTGTCAGATTTAGTCAAAAAGGCTCATTTCCATCTACAGTACCCGGCAGGTTGATGTTAACAAGTAATAGTGGTGGAAGAAGCACTCAGATTGTTTACTTCCCTAAAAGTAGAAATACTCTTTTACAAGTAAAAGTTCTATATTCAAAATGGTAAGTAAAAATACAAAAGTATTAGGATCCAAACATACCATGAAGTACTTTACATCCTGCTGGGTAGCTGGTGGATTTCCCACTGGGATCAATAGAGTCTGATGGTTCTACTGGGTTTGGTTTGATTCATGTGATTCTGGAAAGGACCTGAAGTTATCAGGTACATGTACTGCAGTAAAAAGTACACAGTCTGTCTCTAACATGTGGTGATGTTACAATATGAAGTAGCAGGACTTGGACAAACTGAAAGTACAAATACGTAAAAGCTGGTCTCAGGTATAAAACTTGATTAAATGTACTCAGTTACTTTCCACAACTGAAATTTAAGGCACAAAACAATGGAGGTCCACTGCACCGAGCAACGAGCTAAAGGAGGGTCTGGATTCAGACATTACAGTGAGCACATCGCGCTGCTGCTGTTACTCTCTGGATGGGATTTATGCACAATAACAACAATGTACACAAACACCAGCTGCATCCATCAAGGCTACGTGTGCGGCTGTTATGTTGATTGACAGGTGTCTCAGCCCAGTTAATGCCGCCTACAGGCAGTTGCACGGTATTTTTGTGGTGCCTCTGTTCGGATGTTTTGAAAGCTGGATCTTGGCTTTGCTGCTCACCGCTGTTTTCGTCACTTACTGGAACCAGAAAATCTTAACTGGGGCAAAAGGGATGGAGCTTAGGTGAAGCTGAGTTAGGCGCACGTCGGCCACAGCCACAGTTTTAGACACTGACGTTAGTAAATATGTGTTTTCCTTTACATCTGAGCCAAGCTGGTTGCATTGATTTATTTTTTTCAGTTTTCATTTCCGCTTCCTTCGTCTCTGTCTGTTAGTGTTTGTAGTTTCAGATGAACATGAGCCTGTGGTGTGGTTTATTATTCATTCAGCTACGTAGCCTCCTAACACACACATGCTGCTGCTGCGTGTGTGTGTGTGTGCATGAATAGTAATTATGATTAGCATACAGCCAGGCCCACACACAGAGCCAGTCCAACACACACAAATATTTCCAAATGAAGGCAGTGTGTGTTTGTGTGTTTAAACCTGCTTCTCTGGTTGACTGAGAAAATAGAAACATTTCTATACACACATTCCTCAGACACACACTAATTTATGCAGACACACACACATCAGCATAAACACACACAGGTTAAGCTTCCTCGACTCCACTTAATATCCCCAAACGCCCTGGAAACCCGACGCTCACTGGTAAATGCAGAAGCAACTGGCTTGTCTCCAGAGACAAACCGTGTACTTTTTACTGCACTACATGTACCTGATAACTTCAGTTCCAGAATCAGATGAATCAAGCCAAACCCAGTAGAACCATCAGGCTCTATTGATCCCAGTGGGAAATCCACCAGCTATCCAGCAGGATGGAAAGTACTTCACAGTATAAGTATATAAGGTAGTTACCATCAGCTCCACCTTTACCAGCTGCAGCATTAAAGTGATGGACACAGTAATTAGTCACTATGATCCAGTATCATTACTGGGACACGGGCTGTTCTGCAGGACGAGTACTGGTACTGATGGTAAGTGAATTTGGCAGCTGATAACATTTCTATTTTAAGTAAAAATCTGAATACTTTTACTTGTAACAGTATTTTTACACTCTTAAGATTTGAGCACTTTTTCTGCCACATCCCCTCTCAGACTGATCTCTGTAATGGACACATAAATAAAAATGATATCCACCTTTGCATCCTACTCTGGGAGTGCAAAAGCACACCTGCATGTTCTTTTACAAAATCCCTTTAAGGATCCTTCACAAATGTATAAATTAATGCCCCTCTCCCATCCCCTGACCCTTCACCCTGACCATTGCAGCACCCCAACACAGACACATGGACACACACACACACACTTGTCCCAACCTAAACCTAACCTTAAACCAAGTCAACATTCTAACATCTAATGACTCACTTTTTGGGGAGTTCCCCTTTGTCCCCACAAAGTGACTATACAGAGATACTGCTGGCAACAAACTAAAGGACGACACAGCACAGAGTCCCAGTGAGGAGCTGGGCCACCACAACAGTTCCACGTTGACTCTCCAAGTCTCTGAACCTTCCTGGAGGGATGAACACCGTTCTTCCAACAGACGTTCCCTCATGTTGTGTTTTGATGATGGTGGTGGAGACGCCGTCTAACACGTCGCTCCAACATCTCCCATAGTTCAACTGGGCTGAGACCTGGTGACTGGGAAGGCCACAGCGTCTGGTTCACATCATGGTCATCCTCATCAGACCAGTCAGTGGCCCCTGGTGTCCTGTGGACAGGGGGGGCTCTGTCATCCTGGAGGAGACCGCTCAGTCAATCTGGTCTCTCTTTTTATTTGTCACCTGTTTGTATTTATGTCTACACAACATGAGTAACCCCCACCCACACAGACACACATGCATGTGAACACACACACACACACGCAGAGAAACTTACAGCGTCTCCAGACTGCGTAGTCCGTGGAAACAGTTCGTTCCCATAGAAACAATCCTATTGTTGTTGAGATGCCTGTGGAGCGAGAAAAGGACACTGATGGACTAATGCAGCAGACGAAGAGTGTGCGTCTGTGTGTGTCTTTCTGAAAGGAGCCCCAGGGCCTCTCAAGAAGGTTTTTTTTCTTTTAGTAATTTCATGCAAATTAGCTTCAAGCCAATTGGACAAAAGAAATGACAGCAGTCTTCAGTACTGCCGCACTGAATGCCATCACACACACAAACACAGAGAGGCTGCATGTTATTAAAGGAGCTAATAGGAAGAGACAGGACAGTCGCTGCTGCAGGTCAACTTAATGCTGTGACAGAAACAGTCTGCACACACACACACACACACACACACACATTCCCAGAAAGTGGAAGAGAGGTTCTATATGCCTAAAGAACAAAACTATGGGTTTGATTTGAGCAGGTTTAAATCCAGATGTTTTGAACTCAGCTGACCAGACAGCTGTTATTCTGAGTTTATTGGAACAAATCTGAAAGAATTCAGTTGATTTAACTCAAGTTGAAGATGCAGCTGTGCTGCATCCATGTCCCAGGCCTTAACGCTGAGCTCCAACCTTGTTGTGTCGCTGCTTCCTGTCTGTGTGTATCAGCACCATGTAACCGGTTCCAGTGTGAACACCGCTCAGCTCCTAAACTGCCACATGTGCACAGATGTAACTGAAATGTGAGCCACATGCGCACAAGAATAACAACCAGGTTGTGTGTGCGACGGTCAAATGACCCAGTTTCCTCCCAGACTGCTGGGTTATGATATGTTCCTCCCAGTTTGGCCTGATCAGAAGCTTCTCCATAAACGTCCTGGTCTCTCCACTGACCCCGTCGCTGTCGTCACTCTCCTCCATGTTTAGTGTTACCGGTCTGTGAGGGGCTGACGCTGAATGATGACAACAGGCTGTATGTGCACATCACTAACTTTGTGTGTCTCCTCTCTCCCGTAGTGTGTCCTCTCTCTCTCTCCCTGTACCTTTCTGCAGGTAGCCCTGGTTCTGGAGCTCTATGTTGTATGTTTGTTGTGTCCTGTTGCTTTGTTGGGTTTTCCTCTGTAATAATAGTGATAACAGTAGGGTCTAGACCTTACTTTGTAAAGTGTCCTGAGATGACTTTTGTTATTTGGCGCTATGCAAATAAAATTTGATTTGATTTGATGTGCAGAGGAGGAGACATTAAAAAGACCACATGGATTCTGATCTGACCATTCTGACGGCGCTCACACAGTCAGAGATCAGAGAAGAATCGAGTTTAGGAGCACATACGTAGGTGGCCCAGATCTGGTCTGAGGACACCTGTCTGTTCACACTGCTGTGGACCCATCAGGTCTGGGAAACTTCAGCTGGGATGTGGATGCAACTCTAGTTACCTACTGCTGACCCACTGACTGCAGCTCTAGAAGGGGTAGAACACTTCCTCAGGTACAGAAACCTGCCATCTAAATTAATTTCTCTCAAAATAAAATACATTTTTGAACATTAAAAATATTTGTGGACATTTTTAATTCCAGACTTGTGATATCTCAGTGAGGGTGTTTACGTACAGCACCACCAGGCGACCCATCTTGCTGAAGGCGTGGTTGGGGATGCGGCTGATGTGGTTGAGGGCAAGGGTCATGGCCTGCAGGGTGGGCAGATCGCTCAGAGCCTCCACCGGCACCTCTGTCAGAGAATTATCATCCAACCACAGGTGACGGAGCGAACACAGGCCGGAGAAACAGCCAGTGGGGACATTGGAGATGTGGTTGGCGTCCAGGCGGCTGTGGAGACACACACAGAGTTCACAGTCAAGCTGCTCACCTTATGTGTCCTTTAAACTACATTTTAAGAATCTGGCTAAATTAAATGTGACTGATTGTGAGTATCCATCAGCAGAATGTGAGAAGAAGCCAGGTGGAAACTGTGACACAGCAGAGTGTTGCACTGCTGCTCCCACCTGAGATGGTATTTGCATTAATAAAATCATTAAACTCAGTTTAGGACTTGTTATTGTTTAAGGAATGAATCCAAGGTTGGCAAAAATGTGCTCAAAACGTGGGGGTGGGACGTTACAGCAGCCTGTGGGACGAGCTGGTTCCTTCATGAGCTGTAAACACAATGCATTTCAGTTAACGACACACAAACCATGACAATCTGTGTGTCTTTACCGAACACACCTGTTAGACATTCACATTGCTGGTGGAAAAACTTAACGAACCCTTGCATTTAATAATCGATTAATGTCTCAGATTGAAAGAAAAATGTCAGTTTTTCCAACTTTTCTGGTAAATTTCAGGCACTTTTCTTGTGCAGATTGAAAATGAGCATAACAACAGGTATACACAATCGTTTTGTTATAAAATCAAGCACTTTTTTTTTTACATTTTAAGATCATGACAGCATTCTGAGCGGCAGCTCTGTCACAGCAGTCCTCCACCTGTTCACACAAGGCAACAGCTGTCAGTGATCATCACCGTATACTTTAAAGATAACTGTACTCCAAGTTAATTACTGCTTTCCTCTTTAAGACTTAAAGTACCTGAAAACTTTGTGAAACCTAAGTATGTCTCTTTAACTTTAAATATTTGTAGCTTTTTTTTGTCTAATAAATGTCAAACTCAGTTAATCTGCTTCATCATCAGGACTCATATCATTTCTCACCTTCTTTGTGCTCTGTATTGTTCCAAGATGGTTTTTTTTTTGTTGCATTACATCTAAAGTAACAGAAAGATCTACTGTTTCATATGTGTGAGAGTTTCAGCTTTTCTGCGCTGTTGTATCTTTAGACTTGTTGTACATGAGGCTTCGCTTCCTTTTGAAGCTTTTAAAGAGTCCACAGAAGTAGAATGGGAGGCAGAGCCTTTAGCTATCAAGCTCCTCCCCTATGGAACCAACTCCCAGTCTCAGTTTGGGAGGCGGACACCCTCTCTACCTTTAAGATTAGACTTAAGACTTTCCTTTTTGATAAAGCTTATAGTTAGGGCTGGATCAGGTGACCCTGAGCCTTCTCTTAGTTATGCTGCTATAGGCCTAGGCTGCTGGGGGGCCCATGATGCTCTCTCTCCATCCATCTATATGCCACCTCTACCTGTCACTAACCGTGTGTCCTCTGTCTCTCCCATAGTGTGTCTCCTCTCTCCCATAGTGTGTCCTCTCTCTCTCCCGTAGTGTGTCTCCTCTCTCCCATAGTGTCTCCTCTCTCTCTCTCTCTCCCGTAGTGAGTCCTCTCCTCTCTCCCATAGTGTGTCTCCTCTCTCCCATAGTGTGTCCTCTCTCTCTCTCCCGTAGTGAGCCCTCTCCTCTCTCCCGTAGTGTCTCCTCTCTCCCATAATGTGTCCTCTCTCTCTCCCGTAGTGTGTCTCCTCTCTCCCGTAGTGTGCCCTCTCTCTCTCTCTCTCCCGTAGTGTGCCCTCTCTCTCTCTTTCTCCCGTAGTGTGTCTCCTCTCTCCCTGTACTTTTCTGCAGGTTGCCCTGGCCCTGGAGCTCTACGTCTCTGACGAGCAGTCACCAGCCACATCGACCTGACCAGTGTTTTCGACCTGATCAGTGTTTGATTGTTGTGTCTTGTTGCTTTTCTTCTTTTGTCTCTCCTCTATCCACTCACCCCAACCGGTCGAGGCAGAAGGCCGCCAAGGCAGAAGGCCGCCCTATTGGAGGTTTCTTCCGTTAAAGGGAGTTTTTCCTCCACACTGTCGCCAAGTGCTTGCTCAAGGGGGATTTGTTGGGTTTTCCCTATGTAATAATATTGATAACAGTAAGGTCTAGACCTTACTTTGTAAAGTGTCCTGAGATGACTTTTGTTGTGATTTGGCGCTATACAAATAAAACTAAATTGAAAGAGGAATGACGGGCAAGCTGCTCCAGCACCACTCCAGCAGGCAACCAAGGTATTTTAATGTGTCTGTCAGTGCCACGGCGCTCAGAACGCAGCCACACTGGAATGATTTCCTCATTACAAATGTTTATCTTTTAAACATTAAGTCACCTAGATTGTTATTTATGAGACCAGAAAATACTAATCTTTGATAACAACATGGCAGTTTTGTTTTATTTTTTCAGCCTCAACAACACACAATCTGTAGCACAGTAATTATCTCAGACTGTGGTGGAGATGATTAAAAACATGTTTCGTCTCTGATCATCTCCAGTTCTCTGCACAAGAAGGGCTTTCTCAATTCTGACTTCCTCCTTGGCTTTCAAAGCAAAAGTCTCCAAGCTCTTAACTTTGTACTCTCCCTGCACAGGTGGTTTTTAATGTACATGCACATTTGTATATACAGCATGTACTTTGCAGTAGGTGTGCATGTATAGCCGTACTGTGTGGAGCATCCTTCAGTGTAACAAAGTATTTCCTAAGACTGCAGAGTTGATTTGATGTGCATAAATCACAAAAAAGACCTGATTATTTTGATTCATCTTGCAACGAGAAGACCAGCGTGTGAACGTCTTCTGGTAAATGTTTGCCACCTGCTTTGACTCAGTCATTTCTGTAAATGGATGAATAACTCTATAAGAGATTGGTTAAACTGGCAGCTCATACTGCATGAGGCCAAAGCTGCTCTGAGAGAAACTGCAGGAAACAAAGCAAAGTGAAAAACAAGGAACAGGTAGTTTCTTTGCAGAGTGCAGAGTTCCCGTAAAACTATATTACATCATAAAACTCGAGCCTGTGTTTGCTGCCCACCTTCATCTCTCACCTTCATCTCTCGTTAAGCAGATTCAACCTTTGCTTTTCCCAGATGTTACACCTCAGGTGCTGTTTCCTCTGCTGCACTGCTCAGTGCATCATGTTTACAGCTTTACCTACACTGGGGGCAAAAGTCAGGATTGCTCATGGGATGTCCATGGTGTCAGTGCCAGGCTTATCTGATCACTAGTTCTTAAATCACAATCAAAATAACAACTGTGCTTTTAATGTAATTAGATGGAGCTAGAGTCTAAAATCGGACTTTTGTTACACAAAACAGTTTAGGTCAGTTTTTGCAGATGTTTAATTTCCCTCAAAACCAAATGACTTCAAAAGATTAAATAAGAGACTGAGAAGGATTGAGATTTACCCAGCCGTCAGTGGACACAACACCAGGTCTATGTGAATGAGTGAAGCTGGCTGAGTCCCCAACAATCATCGAGTTCCTCTTTATTTTTACCTTGCAGTACATGGTACTGTCATGAGTGCAGGTAGAACACTCTTTGTGTCATACAACATAAACATGCATGTTCTGCAGATACAAAGAGAGCTGTCTGTCTTAACAATGCCTCCTCTGTTCATGTCCAGAGAGAAAATAAGAATGGACTTCACATAATGGTCCATCACAGAAATGAGAAACCTCAGGCATCTCCATTATTATACCCTTATCCACACACACACACACACACACACACACACACACAGAGGTCCAGTTTCAACATAACATAATCTCTGTGTGTTATCAGACTGAGGGAACAGTGTCTGGACTACATACATTAATTTATTGGTATGTGTGTGTGTGTGTGTGTGTGTGTGTGTGTGTGTGTGTGTGTGTGACTGAAGATTCCTTTCCACCAAAGTGTAAAACAAGATAAAAGTGTGCATGCGTGCGTGTGTGTGTCAAAGGACCAATTTGAATGTTATATTATGGAAGTGAGGACATTTTGTGAGCTCCAACACATTGTTCTGTGCAGTGCGAGCATTTTGTGGAACATGTAACCAGAGTAAAGTCCACACACGCCGTTCTCAGCCTGTGGAGCTGATTGTTGGAAACAGACGGCATCCCATGTTTCCTGAGGAGGAAACCTGCCTCCTGTCTCTGGACAGGGTTTGTGGTGGGTGAGGTTAGGGCTAGAGAATGTCAGTGAGTGCTGGCACACAGATCGCTGTGCAGACGTGTGAGACTCACAGTGACTGCAGGTT